AACAGGAGTCCATCCATCCATCCATCCATCCATCCATCACACTGCTTAATCCTCACTAGGGTCGCGGGGGGGCTGGAGCCTATCCCAGAGACAGACAACCAAGCACACTCACATTTACACCTACGGACAATTTAGAATCACCAATTAACCTCAACATGTTTTTGGACCTTGTGGGAGGAAGCTGGAGAATCCAGAGAGAACCCACGCTGCACGGGGAGAACATGCAAACTTCATGCAGAAAGAAAGAAAAGAACAATCCCGGGTGTCCTCACCGGGATGCAAACCGTCAACCTTCTTGCTGCGAGGCAGTGGTGCTAACCACTGCGGCACCTTGCAGCCCTAACAGGAGTTCACTTATTTTAAACATAGTAACTCTCTGTTGCTCTTCTGACACATGTTTCACAAGGCTGATGGCATGTCATGCATGCATGAGAGAGCAAAAAACAAAAATAAACGAAAAGAAGGACAAAAGCAGGGGAAGCGAGTTTGGAAATGAGAAAAAGAAGGCGTGCTGGCTGACCTCTTATAAGAAGTCTGTCTCCTGCCCAAACACCAAGAACAACAGAGCCAGGCGGTGCAGTCTCTAGTAATGAGCTCCCCAGCACATTAAGTCACTTTAATCCACCGCAACGTTTGAAGAACATACAGCAGAAAGTACATTTTGACAACAGAATACTATCCTACCTCACTAATGATTACTCAGAGATGGGAGATGTTACATATACAATGTCTTAAATCATTCTTGTATCATTCTGACTGAATAATCTGAGATGAAAGAAATGCTAATGAAGTGTTTGTGTTTTTAGGATACCTGGGGTACACTAGTGGCTTCTCACTGAGCTGCATGGTTTTCTTCCTCATCTCTGTAAGTTCTCTGATCCTGGCATACATACGTGTGAAAAGTAGACATTGCATTTTTACTTCCTCTTGTTTCTTGTCTGTTGGCAGACATCATTTTCAGATGCACTGGGACCCTCCCACCACCTCTTTAGTATTCCCTCCTCTATCTACTCATAGCCATGGACTAATGTTTGCATGCTGCAGTCCCAGGCTGTATTGGTTCCCTGTTTTTCTCTGACCCAGTTTTGGCTGTGTGAGCTGTAATCCACTCATTGCGCTCTCTCTCTCTCTCTCTCTCTCTCTTTCTCTCTTTCTCTCTCTGTCTCTCTCTCTCTTTTTCTGGCTCACTCAGTGACATATTTTCTGCCTGTCTGTATTTGGTATTAACTGTGCCCTGCAGGCCTTTGTTTCTGCCTAACACCTCTCGTCTCTGCACTCTACAGGTCATCTACAAGAAGTTCAATATCCCTTGCCCATTCGTGGACTTTGCGATTAACAGCACTGCCAGTGTGATGAACGTCACAGACCCTGGTGGGGAGGACAATCCTGCCTGCATCCCCAAAATGGCCAACCTCAACTCACAAGTAGGTTTACGCATGTCACTCACTCTGAAGCTGCAAATGCACTTCCACTGCAATGGCCTCTGACAGTCCCCCACTTATGTCATAGTCATCCTCAGCATGTTGCCACTGCACAATCCAAGCATGGAAATCTGTGTTTGAAGCACTCAGTTGCACTGAAGAAGAGATTGGGACCTTTATCAAGCTGGTAATGGTAGACAATACTCTGTGATTGATGCCAGCCTCAGCGATGGACAGAGACCCTTGAGCTGTCTGAAGAGGTGTAAAAACTGATTTGGCATTCGGATTCTTACATTTAGATCATTAAGTTTGCCCTCTGTGGGCTAAAGAGGCAGTAAATAAGTGAAATGGGAAAGGCCTGACATTTTTCTGACTACTCCTTTTTTACACACAGTACATACCTTCACAGCAGAATGGCCTTAAAAAACCCTCAGTAACAGCTGGATGAACGTGATTGTAGTGTTACATAACTTAACACTCTTGGCACGGTTTTACTTCCCAGAAAATTAGCAAATACAGACAGGTTTTTATTAAATCCTATCAAGTTTTTATTAGCACCCCTCAAAGATGTATGAGACTTTCCTCACCCAGGCTAGTAGGAGCGATCCCTGCTGCTTAGCAGCTTACAAGTAAGGCATTCTTAAATAGGCTAAAGCTGGTCCGCAGCCAAGCCCAAGTTAATCACAGGGAAACAATTAGCTCTCTGTGATGTGTCTGAGGGAGCAATGGGCAGTAAAGCGCGAGGTTGGTGGTAAGACGTCTGGGATGGCGCTGCTGTATCTATGGTGACCTGTTGGGGTTCATTTTCAGACGGCCTACACCATCCCCATCCTGGCGTTCGCCTTTGTGTGCCACCCCGAGGTCCTCCCCATCTACACAGAGCTGCGCAAGTATGTTCTTATGATGGAAAACTCCTGCTAAGTTTGTGTTGGATAAGAAACCAGTTGCATAAGGAAGAGGAAAGCTACTGTGTCTGCTTTGTGCTTGGCTGATCATAAACTATTCACATGCACTGCTTTCACTTTTCTTTTTGAAATTGTTGGCACTGCTTCTATGGTGTAGCATGTTGTTAGTTTAAATGTACCGTCCGGCTTTGAACCAGTTTTGCTTGTTCTCCTAAAAATAATCCTAATGTGCTATTAGTTCTTTGCATATTTCTACCATGTAAGTAGGCCCAGAGCAGAAGATGGTGTCTAACTGTAACTGGGCTAAATTCTTTCTGTGTGGACACAGTGCAGTAATTTGACATTGGGTGCACTGATGTTGTATGTCTGTCTGTGTGTGTATATGTGTGTGTGTGTGTGACATCACATGGCAATATTTTCTGATTTCAGTGCCACCAAGAAAAAGATGCAGCATGTGGCCAACATCTCCATTGCAGTTATGTACGGCATGTACTTCCTGGCTGCTCTTTTTGGATACCTAACTTTCTATGGTGAGGCCTAGTCCTCCTCACACTGCAGAATATTCTATCTATCTATCTATCTATCTATCTATCTATCTATCTATCTATCTATCTATCT